CTGTATTTTAATCTCTCAATTTATCTCGTTAAAAGAAATAAAAAAAATACCCCAAATGGAAGTTCAATGTTGGGCGTTTACAAACCAAGAATAAACTACAAAATATATATATATAATAACACAGGAAAGAGATGTAAATAAAACAGATGAATCAGAGTTAATTCAGAGAAGAGAAACGTCCTCTGAACGGTGGCGTCCCGTTGTGTGTGGAGAAGGTATTTACAGGCGCCGGGTTGTGGTGAGGACGATGAAGCTGCCTCTAGTGGTCAGTGGAGGAACTTTCACATATACACGCTGCCACACATACTATCATTTCTATTCCATTTAAACAAACTTCCCACTAGAGTTAAGGCATGTAAACTAATCTTAAACTGCGTAAACATTAACCATCTCGTTATATAGAGTTACGGCCAATTGGTTCGTTTAGTAGTTAATTTATAAAACAGTTATTCAAGAACAGATACCCTACGCTTCTCCGCTCGACAAACAGGCTTACCGGCCTAGCCAAACAAACCGCTTTTAAAATACGTACATACATATGGCCCTACAATCCCAACCTTTCCCAACCCCTCAAAGGCTCCCCCAATCGACCACAATCTTTCGAAACATTACTCAAAAGTTTATCAATAATATTAAACTTTTCAGTACAGTAAACGTATTAAGACGTCAACAAATTACCTTCCCTTTCAAACTATCCAATTATTTAACCTGTACAACTTATTAAATTTACAAATGCCAATAATGTTACCAGTATTTTATGTAGATTTTCTAGATGACAATAGGCCTATTTTTTATGGTAGGCTACACATGCCGGGTAAATAACTCAAGTGTGACGCCTGAAGCTTATACCGAGGGTTACTGGGTGTACTGGTGTAAATTCCTTACCAATCGGAGGTACCCTAAACACACACACACACACACACACACACACAAATATAGACACACACAAATAGATACACCCACTCAGATTGAATGCCCACTGACCCCAAATTCTTAACATACAATGAAGTCATCAAGCTCACCACCACCACCACCACTACAACAACAAGGATAAAATTACAGCAGTAGGTAAGAAATATTTATCCATCAACAATGTACAAGAAAAGAACAAGTATATGTCATTATCAAGAGTTGTCTACTTCTACAACAACAACCACAACAAAAACAACAATAACAATACATACAACCACTAAAACAAACACACACACACATCCACACAAACATCACATACAGAAACAAATAACTTCCCTCCTCATAAATAAATAACAAATAAAGAGCTAAAAAAATAACTTAAAAATCACACCCTCCCAAAAAAAAAATGTGAATCACTCTCCAAATTACCACATGATTAATCCGGGCCATGATAATCCACAGTTAATCCAGCCACAGTTCAATCCAGATTAATCCCAGGGACAAGAACGTGTGTTGGGGGGGGGGGGGGACCAGGTGGCAGTAGCGTCGAAGGAGGAAGTGTGTCTAATGAAATACCTGATAAACAAAGGCTCATTTATGTTAATTCTTTTACCTCCTGATTCACGCAAGAGAAGTTATCGATCTAATTTAGGAATCGTGTATGTTAAAAGTATGTGTGTAAAATTTGAAGCCATTTTTGAGGTGTTTAGTTCAGGGTTTGAGTGGGAGAGTGGGAGGTAAGGGGAGTTAGTCAGTGAGTAAGTGTGTGAGTGTGAGTGTGTTTGAGTGTGAGTGTGAGTGTGTGTGTGTGTGTGTATAAGGTAGAATACAACGCAACATCACCTCTAGCCTTGTGTTACGGAGGAGGATGTTATAGTCACTGACACACACACAGTAAACATCAACATCTAGGCCCACACAACCACAATAAACATCTTGGTCCACACACACTTTTCACCTGCAACATCAAAACAGAGAAAGAGAAAACAAATTTGGTGGGTTCTTTTCGTGTTTAGTGACCTGTGAGACCCCGCCCCCCCCCACCCCACATTTTTAGCAGCTGTCTTGGCACCTTTTAAGTCTACTGTAGTCAACTCTCACGCCTCTTTAACATGCAGTGTTTCTCGTATACACGCCACCACACCAGAGATGCCAGCCATGAAGCGCACTTATGTCTTCTTACTGCTACTAACCCCTGAGACATATTGAAAGACCCTGAAACACTGATTTACCACCCGCTGCAACATACAAAAAACACCCTACGAGAAATATAAACACACCCTGCAACATATTTTGACCTACTGTACCATGCAACATACCATACACACTCTGCAACACATGACACGTTCTGCAACACATGACATCCTGCAACACGTACGCAATTCACATTTTTACATAACCCTCTACTTTATAATATCTCCCCTCTTATAAGTAACTCCCTTCCCTCCACCTAATTAAACCCATTTATAGTTATTACTTCTCTCAATTTCTCCTTGTATTCCTTTATCATCATCTACTAATTCTCTATTCATTACAGTTCTCATACACGCAATTCCATTCTCCAATCCCTTCCTTCCATGGCCGTGAACACAGAAACCTTTTTACCAATCAGCTCAATATTTCCAATCTATCTCATGAATACTAATCCCCGTGCCCATGAATACAAAAACTTCAAATTACAAATCCACCTCCGCCTCCCAAGCCCATGAAATTTACGTAGCACAAGACTCGTAGCTACAGAGGATTGAGAATAAGATCAGTCTGCTTGTTCACTACCACACTACGTCTCTGCAGATGGGGGTCTCAAGATAGCCGAGGAGAGGGGGGGAGGGAAAGATGAGGTGCCAAGAATGAGGGTGGAGTTCCCCCCAATCACACGTCTCGTACCGAAAGGTGTTGAAATGTTCCTTACAAGTGTGGTATATATTTTATCCTCGCTACCCACGCCTTCCTTCTGGCTGTGGGGAGGAGGGGTTGAGGGTTGGAGGGGAGGAGGGGTGGAGGAGGCGAGGGTGGGAGAAGGGGTTGAGGGTGGAGGAGGGGATGAGGGTGGATGAGGGGGATGAGGGGTGGAGGGGATGAGTGGGTGGAGGAGGGGATGAGGGGTGGAGGAGGGGATGAGGGGTGGAGGAGGGGGATGAGTGGGTGGAGGGGTGGAGGAGGGGTTGAGTGGGTGAGAAGGGGTTGGAGGGTGGAGGAGGGGATTGGAGGGCGGAGGAGGGGATTGAGTGGGCGGAGGAGGGGGTTGAGTGGGGGATGAGTGGGTGGAGAAGGGGTTGAGTGGGTGGAGGAGGGGTTGGAGGGTGGAGGAGGATTGAGTGGGTGGAGGAGGGGGTGGAGGAGGGGGTTGAGGGTGGAGGAGGGGTGGAGGAGGGGGGTTGAGTGGGTGGAGAAGGGGTTGAGTGGGTGGAGGAGGGGATTGAGTTGAGGGGTGGAGGAGGGGATTGAGTGGGCGGAGGAGGGGGTTGAGTGGGCGGAGGAGGGGGTTGAGTGGGAGATGAGTGGGTGGAGGAGGGGGTTGAGTGGGTGGAGGAGGGGATTGAGTGGGTGGACAGGGTGGGAGGTTTACAGTCCCTTGTTGTATGAGATCACGTCACATCAGGTGAACAAAGTGGCTTCAGGTGTAATCATTTCTTACGTATTTATCAAACTTATCATACATACTTATACTTATTTATCATACTTATCATATTTATCCTGCATACTTATACTTATTTATCGTACTTATCATTCCATTACACTTATTACAACGACTTTATTTTTTGCCTTTTTTTCTCAACTTCTGTTCCTTTGTTTACTTCCCATCTGGAGCGTCTAAGCAACAACACCTACACCGTCTCCTACACTCCAGCTTATCATCCTTGTCAAGGGTAACACAAGAAGCCATCAACATCATCACATAAGTAGACCAAAAGCGTCGACGATTTTGGCCAAATATATCTGTCTGGTATTTAGGTTAGAGAGTGAGATCAGTGTGTGACATCTGGGGGTTCAAAAGATGGTACAGTGATCTGGGTTTTGGTTGTGTGTTTGTGTGTTAATTGGGTATCTGTAGTGATTTCAGGTACCACATTCACCAAACAATGACCCTGGCCTTGTGTCCACCAGAATCAGCAGCCAGCAACACTTCCCTCCTGTATAAACAAGAAGCCAACCTCACTACATCAGCAAGAGCAGCTACATCAGCGCTTCACTATCAGTACCCAGACTAAGACAAGCTCACCCTCCACCTAAGACAAGCTCACCCTCCACCTAAGACAAGCTCACCCTCCACCACCTTCCCTGATCCACCAAATAACCAAAATTGTGCTTGTCAACATATTATTATTCCTGATTCTTGCCAAGTGTGAGGGTGGAGTGTGTGGGGAGGGGGTGGAGTGATTTGGAGGCGGGGGGGTACAAAAAGGTGAACATTACCGATCAACACTATAGTTCTGCCCAACGTCGACTTCACAACACAAACAAGAAGTTAGAAAACAAAAGAACTCATGAAAGCAAACGAGTTTCTGTCCTGCTGGCCCTAACGCTCAATTGCACCACACGTCCTGACCCCGATACCACCACCCGCCGCCGCCAATCAACACCCGTTATGGCTCCTTGTTCACAACACATGGTACAGTGGTTCCAGCTGTATCATGAACACTGTGTATTTTCTGGATTACAGGAATTGAGGTCACCAAGGGCACAATGGAGGCAGTGGCGGTCGTGTTGAAGAGGGTATTCGCCACACACATATACACAACATTGTCCTCTGTAGCAACTGGATTACGCAAGACATGGTGGCGTCGTTATCCATCAGTGACTTTTACATGATTTAGAATTATAAGGTTTACATATGCTTAAGTAACCTAGATTTCAGCATTGGGGGTGGGGTAGTGGGGGTGGTGGAGGAAGCACGTGCCGGGACAAAGAGGACATTTCTGCCAATGCGGCATCTTGACGCCTCTCACCTGACTCCAAGACCAGCTGCCACAAGGAATCACACACAGACAGAGCCAGGTTTCAGACAGGCAAATGGTCATGTAAACACTCGCCAACACAAACAGTATCACAAAATAAACAAGACAGAGACAGGGTTGGTTACTCACCTACAGCAGCGCTCCTGTCCCGCTAGAAAAGATCTTCCCCGTCCCAGTAGTACACGTCCTGCATCTGGTGTCCGACGAGGCTCTCCTTCTCCCTGGACACCGACGTGGTGCTCCTGCTGGTGGGTGGCGGTGTAGCTTAATGGAAGGGTAATAATCCTCATCATACCACCCAGGTGACGCCCCTCCTCCTCCTCCTCCCCATTAGGCCAGGAGTGTATAGTGGTGAGGGGCGTGTGGGCGGTGGCGATTGGCCGTATGGTGGTGGTGAGCAGTAGGAATACACCACTACGCCGCCATGTATGACCACTACTAATACCATTCTTTTTTCCAACATCACATCCACTATATTTATCATCTAGCCGCTAACTCCGAGACACTCTTATCATTATCATCATTACTATTATTATTATTATTAATATTATTATACATGGTTTTACGATAGATGCATTAAACTCTGTGAATGTTCTATTATTCACACCTTCTTCATTTATTTATTTAACGAACCATGAATAATATCTGCTTATGCACAAATCGATAAAACATTGAATTAAGGACAAGTAGCACCACCAGACCAGTGTTATCTAGCTAACACCGGTAAGTGGGGGGAAGGGGTTCGATCACCGTGTGCCATCATCTCGAACCAACCCTCCTCCTCGCGTTCACCAGTAAGGCGAACCATTGATGTCTAGGTGGTTCCAGGAAGCGAACTCGGTCCAAGAGTCTAAGTTCACATCAAACACGTCTTTGGGTTTTAACTCTTGCGCCGCGGCGGTCTTGGGTCGAAAGGAAACAATCACGTAATTCTTGTTGTTGTTGTTGTCCCAGTACTCCCCAATCTCGCTCTTGAAGCACACGCAGAACTCCAGCTTGTCGGCCTGTGTGGATCCTGGCAGGGGCAAGCTGAAGGAGAAGGTGTCATAGAGGTCGTAAGAGGCTCCCGTAGCGGTGGACAGTGACGGTACGAACTCTCCCTCGACGTCCTCATGAGTCGTCCAATTGTTGATGGTGTATCTCACTTTAACACTCTTATGGAAGGATAGATTTCGGACCTATTGTGGGGGAGACAGAGAGAGGAACAGGTGTGTCAACGGATTACCCAGAAACCTTTTATCACTCATTGTTTACAGGTGAGTAATAAACGCCTATCAATTTGCATCAATCCTAACATTGAGACATAACCTACTCTAACTACCACAACCATCAATCACCGGTAATAACACACCTACTAACAACTACCACCATTAATCACCAACGCACCTATTAACCACCACCACCATTTATCACCCGCACACCTGACAAGTCACAGAAGCTCACCTTAACTGTGCCCGCTACTCTGTTCTCGGATTCCTTAATGACAACATTTTCTAGAGAGATGTAGTCATTTTCCAATCTGGCCTTCATGCCCAGGTAGTCAGAGGCTGGCTGGGGGAAGGCCAACTCCCACTGGTCACACACCGCTTCTGCCTTGGCGCCTCTGGTTACCTGAGACAAATACACACAAGCAAATGAATATGACAAAATCTTCGTCAGGTGAATAGTGCTAACGAACTATATACAGGTAATTGAACGAGGTAAAAAAATATTGAAATGAATGAAAAAAAAAATATAGTAAATAATATTTAAGAATAACGTACCTGAAAAATTATTACGAAAAAGTTTTTGTTGTAAATTTCGTACTTAAATTGAACACACAGGTATTTAGGAATTAGGCTAGGCTAGGATAGTCTTCTTCCTTCGTCCCTTGTAGGTTTAAGGACAGGTGTAAACACGGACAGGATTAGGGCAGGTAAAACATTCCAGGTGAGATAATGAGACCTTTACCTGTTCTAAGAAGTCTGCCGACCATCTTGGGGGACAATCTGGACGCTCGGTGAGGACACGGACCTCAGTCAGTGGGTGTCCTCTGGTGTCTGCGAACACTACCTTCTTCTTTAGCCGGGTGGGGGAGATGGCGCCTTCCTACAACACCAGAATAAGACCTATTTTATACCCCCACAGGTGAACATTTGCACTAGATATTTTTTTCACACTTTTTACCTTTAAATTACGTCATCATGAACCTTTTTTTCTTTTTAAACATCAATAAAGACAACATCATGATTCCTACCATTATTATAACTAAACTAACCTTTTTTTGTATCCATGTGAGGGTGCATGTATATACGGAAATATTTATCAATTTTTTTTTTTTTTTTTAAACTGCAGTAGAAGTTGTCCCATACCATCAAGACAAACTGAGATGGTGAGTCTTACCTCCACTTCCTCCTCCTGACGGGCCACCAGGCAGGACTTGATGGGCAGGAAGGGTAGTGTCTCTACTTTTTTTTTCTGAGGCGACCGTCGACCACTGGACCTGTAGGGAACCACAACACCATCCAGGATTTACACGAGGGATTCTTTTCAAGGGACTTTATGTACAGTGAAACCTCCATATAACGAACTTTTCTCTTCATATACTAATCCGTTAGATGGGGAGGTTTCACATCTAACGAACCCTCGATAAAACGGACTTTCCTCCATGTTGTCCGTTAAATAGAGGTTTCACTGTATAACACTAATTCAAAACACAATATTTATTACACACATTTCAAAGTATTCATCACACCTGAAGCTTCTCTATACAAAGAACCTAAATGAAGTTATATTTATAGTTCAGTAGTAAGATTATGTAGCGACTATGACAAGACTCACCTAAAACTGCTTCTTGGGATGAAGTTGTTGCTGTAGCAGGAGGTGGAAGAGGAAAAGGAAGAGGAGGACAAGGGTATGGAGGAGGAGGACAAAGGAGAGGAGGAGAAGAGTTGGCTATCACAGTTGCTCCGAAAACTACTAGTGGTGAGGGTAGTGCCGCATGACTGGCTGCTGCCGCCCCATATGTTGTGGAGGGGCGTCGACTGGACTGGTGTCGTCTGTAGGGGAGCTGCCTGGAGTGGTGTCAGTCTAGGGTAGTCATGGAGGAAGGGCTGGGAGGCGAGGTACCCGGAGGTAAGAACTGGGGACGACCCAAGGAACATCTCCACACCATAGTCACTCGGCATCATCAAAGTTGTCATCAGGCCCTAGAGAGAAGGCCCAGGACATAGGAATTAACACGGGGGATTCATATAGAGATTAGTATACCTCCGCCCTTGAGCTTATTTCACCTGAAGATTAAATACATTACTGCTAACCTAACCTAAATATAAAGTGAACATTGCCAGATACGAGAGAGAGAGAGAGAGAGAGAGAGAGAGCATAACGAATATAACACAAACAAATATAACAAATCATCATACACATAATGATTTGATAACCGTTGATGTACCATGACATTATGGACAGTGATAACTAATTTGTCGGTCCACTGATGATGATAACCCCCCTCCCCCCCGTGGCCACATCCTCTTTTTATCATCCGGATTTTTATCTTTCGTATCGTTGTCAACATTATCTTACGTCGTTATGTACAGGTCTATAATCTTCCCTCACCTTCAGTTTAGTCCTTCCCGGTGGTCAGGTGTAGAAATAATCATCATACACTCATGAATTCTAACCCCTTTTTGTCCCTAACCCTTTCTTAAGTTTAACCCTTATCAGTAACCCTTTAACAGGAAGTTTAACCCTTTATTTTTTTTACATAATACTTTGACTCGTTTTATCTTAACCTGATTTCTTAATTACATTTCTAACTTCCCCCTGTACCTTACCCTACCCCTTCCCCCTGTACCTTACCCTACCCCTTCCCCCTGTACCTTACCCTACCCCTTCCCCCAGCCTCCTCCTCCTCTCTGGCAGCTTCTTAAAGACGATTGGTACGATTCATTTGATGACGTCATGAATACTGAGTGACGTCATGTATCAATTATAACCTGAAGTCATGTGACTCGACCTACCATTCCCTCCCTCTTCCTTCTTTTCTCCTCATCCCTTAATTTCCTCTTTCTTCCTATTTTCCACATTCGCTTCCTCTTGGGTAAACAACGGTGCGTTATTTTTCCCACAAAAACAAAGTTACTTCCGCACGCTCTCCCGTTATCACATAATTTTCCTGTGGGAGGTGTGCCCGCGGCTGCCACACACACACAAGGTCGACCTTCCATATCTTTCCAGACTTTCGCTGTGTGCACTCTTGACGCTGTGTCTTTCTGTTCGTTTGTCTGCCTGACTGTACAATGACGAAACCCTACCTGTAATTACTTGAGATAGAGAGAGAGAGACGTATACCATTGTGTAAGGTCAAGTATCGGAGACGGTTCTATCAGGCCATAAACACTAGCCGGCCGGGCGGGTGTGTCTGGTGCACCTGGCCGGATGTTGCAAGGTCGAGACAACACCTTACCAGACAACACCTTACCAGACAACACTCATGTGGTCACCTAAACGCCTTCCAGTTCACCAGTGTCTTAGTCTATGTAGTTTCAATTATAATAAATAATAATTAACACTAAGTAATAAAAAATGCCTGTGATAATAAAAAAATATATATATAATAAATATATAATAAAAATAGTAACGAAACAAAGAGAAAACGGATAAAATTTTTGGTGAAAAGTAATTAAAAGATCCTGATTTTGGAACAAATTAAACACTTCCGGGGTTCATTTTTATGAGATTAAAATTTTCGGTGAAACGCATCTGCTGGGTGACGTGGTTGAGTGTAGTTATTTATATTAAAAGATAAAGTTTGGTTTAGGTAAATTTGAAGTTTTGGTGAAGGTGGGTTTAGTTTGGTTTAAGACAAGGGTAGTTAAACCAGGTTATGTCGTTTCCGTTGTCAGAAATAAACAGGCGCCAATTTGCACTGGTCTAGGCAGCGTCCACCATCTCCCACAACACACAGAAAACCTCTCGTCTTAATAGGGCCAGACAAGTGCACACCCAGACGAAAATAACGCCCGTGCCTCAACAAACACCTTTCATACCTAGTCCCCCCCCCCCTCTCACGTACCCACACCTGCTGATGAAACGCAATAATGAGGAACAGAGATGAATTTCCAGGTAAAACTAGCGTAGGAGCAGCCATTACCTGTGTTTCATCGTAGGTGTGGCCAATAATCCTTGTATGCAATGATAACACAATCTGTAGTGTTACTTGCTATTCAGGTGATTTGTTGGCAATGTAATATTATAGTTACGTAATTGTTAATGCATTGTTGACGCTTACTTAATTGTTATGCAGTTTCGGTGATGACGTGACTGTAAATATTGGCACTAACGTAATTGTAAAGCATCGTTGGTGGTGGTGGTGGTAACTTGCAGTGTTGCGTAGATCAGTATTAATTAATGGTGGATGTCGTTAGTCTACCACCGCCACCCTGAAGTATCCTAAATTTACCTAATGGCCATCCCAAACCCGAATAAATGGAGTCAAAACTATACCGAGACTTGTTCCGTACTTGAGTTGTGAAAATATGTTGAAAGATAAACCCCAAGAATCACTATAGAAGAATTCAACCCTTGAACTCTGACCATAGGTGATCATGGTGGTGATGTGAAGGAAGGATTGGCTGGGTTGACAAGTGTGGGGTGTTGGTGTTTACAAAGTCCCTTCAGGTATACGTATCCAAAACATACACACACACACATACCCAATCTTAATAACCAAACCAATATCTTTCAGGCCACGAGTCACAATACACTTAGTTTATCCGCCTTACGCTCGATAAATCCAGTAATATTTAATTTAGTAGTGGATAGGATTACATCACATATCGGTTGACGGAGCTTCCAATATAATGATCAGGAACACGATACACAGAAAAAAGACTCCCGAACCCACCATTTCCTCTCTCTCTCTATCTCCTTCAATTTGACTCGCAAATATAATCGGGAATAAATCGAGCAGTCTTGCGGGTTGCTACATATAACTCAATTACGTTTTATTTCAGTCTGTCGTAAAGTAAATCTACTAGAGCTGTTTTACGTTAATCTCTAGTAAACATTTTTGAGCGAAGGTTTATTCACAGGAATTAAACACTCATAACGAAGCTTTCAGGTACTGCTTAAATTGTATGGCGATATGTGACTTCAGAGAAACACCTCACCCGCACTATACAGTATACACACACTGGTCTCTGAAAACAAACTTACCCACGCGCACACTCACTAACACAGCGCGCCGCCCAGGGTCAGAAAACCTCGTCACGTACACACTAATAAATTTATAAACATTTCAGGATTATTGTATTTAAATAAAAAAGTTCGGTTGTCGATGTCATCGGAGAAAAAATTATACAACTTTCTCATCCCCCATCACGAGGTGTTCGGGAGGGTATCCGATCATGTCACATACTGTAACCTTTATGAGATGACTTGGGATATTTCCTCAGCCCCAGCGCACTATGGTCTCGAACAGTTGGCTTAGACTGTACCGCCACGCCTAGGACTGTGTGTAGACAATAACTCCAGCACTGAAATTTCTAAGTCCCTCCACCAAAATAATAAAGGTGATAAAGATTATGTTAGATTTACCTTTATAAAAACACAAGTAATATAAACAAACCAAATGGGAATGAATCTAGTACCCCTGGTTCTCACGGTTTGTTTACAATGGACCGAACACCAATATGGCCACTGACACGATAATACAGAGACAATGCCGCAACGCCAGGAAGACATGGTGGAGCTTTTCCGGTGTTACCATGGCAGACCGTAGTGGAGCAGTCTTCACGCCCTCCCTTGCTCGCTCTCTCTACCCCCAGCAACAAGCACTAATATCTCCTCGCTCCCCCATTCTTATTTCTTTTCCTTAGCAATCACCCATCTTTGGAGTCTGTCTTTCGTCTTTGTCTCCCAACCTATCTGATCACCTCAAAGCATTACCTCTTACTCTTTTCCTGCGCCACAAGCACCTCAAGGCAGATCCACCCACTCGCGTTACACAATCCACAGCTGTTCTCACTATAAGACCCTGCTTTTTTTTTTATAAATTTACAGTGTACCAACTCGAGTCTGGCTGCGTGACGAAAGGAGTGAGATACGGGTGCTTGGAGACAGTTGCTATGTCCTGTCCTGGTGAGACACATTGAAGTAGACTGCCACCACCACTCTAACATATGCTATCACCATCATCCTAACATACGCTACCACCACCCTAACATACGCTACCTGCACCCTAGCATACGCTACCACCATCCTAACATACGCTACCACCACCCTAGCATACGCTACCACCACCCTAGCATACGCTACCACCATCCTAACATACGCTACCTGCACCCTAACATACGCTACCTGCACCCTAACATACGCTACCACCATCCTAACATACGCTACCTGCACCTATAACCCTAACATACCACCATCCTAACATACGCTACCACCATCCTAACATACGCTAGCTACCACCATCCTAACACGCTACCTGCATAACGCTACCTGCACCCTAACATACGCTACTACCACCTAACTACCACCATCCTAACATACGCTACCTGCACCCTAACATACTACCTGCACCCTAACACTCTAACATATGCTATCACCATCATCCTAACATACGCTACCACCACCCTAACATACGCTACCTGCACCCTAGCATACGCTACCACCATCCTAACATACGCTACCACCACCCTAGCATACGCTACCACCACCCTAGCATACGCTACCACCATCCTAACATACGCTACCTGCACCCTAACATACGCTACCTGCACCCTAACATACGCTACCACCATCCTAACATACGCTACCTGCACCTATAACCCTAACATACCACCATCCTAACATACGCTACCACCATCCTAACATACGCTAGCTACCACCATCCTAACACGCTACCTGCATAACGCTACCTGCACCCTAACATACGCTACTACCACCTAACTACCACCATCCTAACATACGCTACCTGCACCCTAACATACTACCTGCACCCTAACATACGCTACCTGCAACACCTAACAACATACGCTACCACCACCCCTAACATACGCTACCTGCACCCTAACATACCTGCCACCATCCTAACATACGCTACCACCATCCTAACATAGCTACCACCATCCCAACACCACCATAACATACGCTACCTGCACCCTAACATACGCTACCACCATCCTAACAAACGCTACCTGCAACATTTACCACCACCCTAACATACGCCCAACATACACCACCCCTAACATACGCTACCTGCACCTAACATACGCTACCACCATCCTAACATACGCTACCACCATCCTAACATACGCTACCTGCACCCTAACATACGCTACCACCTAACATACGCTACCTGCACCCTAACATACGCTACCACCACCCTAACATACGTTACACTAACATACGCTACCTGCACCTAACATACCTACCACCACCCTAACATACGCTACCACCACCCTAACATACGCTACCTAACCACCACCTAACATACGCTACCACCATCCTAACATACGCTACCACCATCTAACATAAGCTACCATCCTAACATACGCTACCTGCACCCTAACATACGCTACCATCCTAACATACGCTACCTGCACCCTAACATACGCTACCTGCACCAACATACCCTAACATACGCTACCTGCCCCTAACATACGCTACCCACCCTAACATACGCTACCACCATACGCTACCACCATCCTAACATCGCTACCACCATATACGCTACCACCATCCTAACATACGCTACCTGCACCCTAACATACGCTACCACCATCCTAACATAAGCTACCACCATCCTAACATACGCTACCTGCACCCTAACATACGCTACCACCATCCTAACATAAGCTACCACCATCCTAACATACGCTACTTGCACCCTAACATAAGCTACCACCACCCTAACATACGCTACCACCACCCTAACATACGCTACCTGCACCGAAAAATATTGGAAAAAACTAAGATAACAAAACAATTACACACACACCCACCCACACACACATACATACTATGGCGAATAATCTTTTTTTACCTTAAGGCGTACTCAAGGACTACTATGGTTCGTATCGTGCGAATAGTCCCAGTATGGTTGAGTGTGATAGGCGAGAACATAGCCACAGTTGTGTATGGTCGGTCGGTTATGGCAGGAACCAGTGCTGACACCAAGCGACTCACTCAAGCCTCCGAGTCCAACTGTGGGCGTTCACCAATCACCCATCCGAGGGAGGGAGGGAGGGAGGGCTGTGACGCTGTGATCAGAGGGGGTAGGGAGGGAGGGAACTGGAAGCACCCTCTCTCCCTCCTCACTCTATTACCCCTCCCCTCTCTCCCTCCTCACTCTATGACCCCCCCTCTCTCTCCCCATCCCGCCTCTATACTTGTGACCTCTACCGCCGCTAACCGCCAGTGAGGTCAACCACAGCACAGTCTAGCAAAACCATTAATATCACCAGTTGGCGAGATTTATTTTCGAATGTTATCTAACGTCACCCATAACGTCACCCGTGTGATTTTACATGAAATATGGAACTTACACGTCTCTCTTACGAAGATGTCTTGAATAAAGACGAAAGCTAAGGTACTCCGTTGTTTCCATTTTCCCGTGTGATTTTATCAAGATATATATATATATATATATATATATATATATATATATATATATATATATATATATATATATATATATATGCAAGTAAATCACTGTAGGTGCGCGTGATCTAGGTATATGCTGATGACCACAAGGAAGGAAGAAAACACGAAGTTCCCAAGCGCTTTCGTGTAATTCACATCTGTACTCACCCCTGAAGATGTGAATTACACGAAAGCGCTTGGGAACTTCGTGTTTTCTTCCTTCCTTGTGGTTATCAGCATATATATATATATATATATATATATATATATATATATATATATATATATATATATATATATATATATACTATATATATACAGTATATAGTTTGCAGGGCTTAACTTTTACCATGACAACTATCGCCATATTTAGAGAAATTTTTACAACTCTGTAACAATTCTCAACACAACAATACTTAAAAAATTACAATAATTAATTTCGGCAATTACACCGCAGTAACTCGCAACGTAATTGCCAGCATCACATTTCATCAAACAAACTCCAAATATAAGCAATGTCCTGTACAATACATATTTAAAAGTTACAGCAATCGTTACTTACAACAACACACTTAACGTAAACATTAATCTATCAGTTATGTTACAATGAAATAATCCGCTAAAACTAATTGTATGTGAAGATTCATTTGACTACAGTACATGTTCTGTATTTCATCAACAATTTACATTATTATAGCAAACTGTACATTGGTTTAGCCACGTTCTGGAGGTATAGGATAAGTTTGTGAGTGAGAAAATGCATGACCGTGTAAAGAATTGTAATAATTACAGAGTCCAAATTGTATTCCATATTACGTCTTGTATTGAGATTTTCTAAATTCTCAGCGTTCAATAAGATAAAATGCATCTTGGTTTAATACATTGTGCATACATGCAAAACAAGAGACTTGGTTCCAATGTAATAATGACAAATAAACATCTGACTTGGTTAAATAACACTTCACAAAACATTAATAAGTGACACCAGACACTAACATGGTTGACGCCGAGGCTACTCACTCACAGGTTTCGTTAAGTCAAGCAACAACTTGTTAATATCACAGCCACTTGACCTTACCTGTTCTTGTTATCACAGGTCACAGTCATACGAATATATAAAACACTATCAAGATACTGGCAGACACTCAAGGCACACATTACAACACACGTCAAGGTACAACTTGTATGGTACTTAAAAGTCTTCCAACATTCGCGTCCTTTTAAAAGCCAAAAATTAAATGGAACTTTCGGGGTTTTCAGCCGACGTGTGTGTCATCTTCACAACATTCACAAGATCTGTCACACTCTTCCGCAACACGAATATCACTAATGTGCTCGGGGTGTTCTAGCACTAGTAACTTACTATGTTATAAAGCTGTAGTCATACAAGCACAAGAACGCCGTGAAAAAGATATCGAAGTTTTATACACTAAGCCGTTCAATACCAGCTTCTTCTACCACGTGCACCACTCTCTGATCTCCCTTACAGACTGACTCGCTCCTCCTGCTCGCTGGTAGCATTTCCCTTGGCGAGTGGCACTCCGGGCCAAACTGTCGTACAATCCAAACCACTCATTCGCCACCAGAGCCATTTTCGCTCCTATCTATCCTTTACGTACGATAGTTTCAGCATTCTTAATACACAGATGGTGTTGTTGTGTCAAGAATATCTGGCATTTAACGCTGTTCTGGTGAGATTATCGAGCGTTTGGCAGCACGAGGGACAAAATATAAGGTGTTCCTACCTCACAACTGAGCATCAAGTGTTCACGTGCTGGCCGTGGCAACCAATGGAGGCTGGGGGTGTGGCACCGGCCAATCAGCAAGCATTTTGATCCTTCAGCTGACCCAGCCACAGATGCCCTAGTGACGTGCCCTAACTTAAATGCATCTGTACGCATGGTAAATAAACAGACCAAGACGATACACAACTACAGTAGCAACTCCTTGACACTAATTTAAAGGGATTAAAAATATTTCAATGTGATGTATCAGCTGAGGGTATTACAGCTTATCTGAGGAGAGATTATTTGTGTAAATATTAGCTGAAGGTTCTCACCATACGTGGCAACACTGCATATACACACACATACACACACACACTGCAAGGACGAGAAAATCCCTCCAGGAGCAGCTTCAACTTCGGTAATACGGTCCCCTCGCTACTATGGCCACTCACTCACTTCACCCATCACCAAGGGCTGTACAGACATCCCCACCTGATACCCTCATCCACCCCGCAGGTTGAAGTACTAACACATACTATATAACGATATTAGTACAGTGTTCGGGCAACACTTTTTTCAGGGGCCGGTAGCCAAGGCGTGTGTGGCTGTGTTGATCACGTGACCAACACGTTGTACACTGCAGTAGGTGGCCGGGCTGAGCAGAGGCAATCCCCAGCCCCCAATCCGTCAGCCAACAAACTCGACTCTCCATCCAGCTGTTACTCCTAGATTCTCAAGCGTTCATGAGTTAAATTTACTCCCACATGTTAAGGACACTATTCACTGTCCCACATGGACTAAAACTTGTAGATGGTTGGTCAAAATGGCGTCTGATTTACCTTAAGACTCTGTAGTCGCCAGATACGCTCCAGGAGATGAGGCTTCGGTAAACAAATTCCCCTTGACGACCGAACTAACTACAGCTTTCACTAATCTTAAATCAAAATCCTTCAAAATACAAGAACGCCTTTAATTCCCTCATATAACCAACATATTTTAGAAAGTATGAGAAAATGGCGTCTGGATCACATTAAGACTATCGTTGTTAGAAATCCCATTAATTCCAAACAATCAGGGAAAAGAAACTTCGCTTGAATCCTTGTGAATCCGGATTCAAGCGGGAAAAACGTCAACACAGTCACGAAGGCGTTTGTTGTGGGTGAACGATACTTCTCTGGGCGTGCGATTTTGTGTTATGTACAGTAGTACATATAAAAATTACTTTTTTTTTTACTTTTTTTGCGAGATTTTTTTTATGTACTTTGTGTTTGAGTTACTGTATATTAATAGAATTACTTAATGGTATGTGATCGATTAGTCATGTGTTACTTATGTGTTATATTATGCCTTGTTTGCGTGTGTTACTTTGTGTTAAGTGTTGTGTTGCCCCACGAGCTGGGACAGTAGTGTGCTAAGACACCATGTGCTAAGTGCCACTGCATGTATTTAATGCCACCACATGTACAAAGTGCCACCTCATGTGCTGGCGTTACCCCTCTAGGTCACCGGTGGCACTCCCATAGCAACCAGCACATGAAGAGGTAGAAAAGGGAGATATCCCCTTAACTATTCGTAGCTCCTGAAGGTGCGTGCTGCCTGCAGGTAGAGAGAGGTCGGGGAGATGCTGCCTGTCAGGTTACTTGATAAATATACACCGTATGTGTGTGGGTGTGTGTGTGTGGGAGGGTGTGTGGGGAGGGTGTGGGGGAGGTGTGTGTGTGTGGGGGTGTGTGGGAGGGTGTGTGTGGGGGAGGGTGTGTGTGGGGGAGGGAGGGTGTGGGAGGGTGGGGGAGGGAAGGTGTGTGGGGAAGGGTGTGTGGGGGAGGGTGTGGGGGAGGTGTGTGTGGGGAGGGGTGTGTGTGGGGGGGAGGGGTGTGTGGGGGTGTGGGGGAGGGGTGTGTGTGTGTGGGGGGAGGTGTGTGGGGGAGGGTGTGGGGGCGTGTGTGTGTGTGTGGGGGAGGGTGTGTGTGTGGGGGGAGTGTGTGTGTGTGGGGGGAGGGTGGGGTGGGGGTGTGTGTGTGGGGAGGTGTGTGTGGAGGTGTGTGGGAGGGGTTTTGTGGGGGAGGGTGTGTGTGTGGGGGGGAAGATGTGTGTGTATGGAGGGAGGGTGTGTGTTTAGCAAGCACGAGTTGGCAGGGGTTGGCGGAGGGGAGGAGGGACGGGGCAGGGAGGGAGGAAGGAAGGGAGAGGCGAAAAGATAGATTAAGTAAAGGAGGGAGGGAAGCGGAAACAAAGATTTAAAGAGAAAGAGAGAGAAGGGACGAAAAGAGGCTGGGAGGAGAGAATGAAGAGATGGAAGGAGAGAGGAAAGAGAAATGGAGAGGAGTAGAGAAAGAAGGGCGGAAGCAAAGTTTGGAGAGGAAACGATTCAATGAGAGAGATACATAAACAAAGACACTAAGGTTATTCAACTCTTTTCCTTGGTCAGGGTAAACATAAGCAAGTTTGGTTTGGTTAGGTTAGTCACCGCGTCAAGTAAGCTGGTGTGTCTAATCTTCATGTGATATTAACAATTAACTCCCGCCATTCCTTCAGTGCGTCAAGCGTCTTCCGAGAAACACGCTGAGGACCTTGAGAAGTATACCTGGCATTAATAACCCTAACGAAAATAGCATCGGCTCTCAGGTCAGTAAGACAGGTGTGTTGGGGATATACCTGAATTGTTGTAAGGAGTCTGCAATAGGCCGGTTGGCCTGTGCATGGCAGCTCTGTCGAGAGTTACTACCACTCTCTATCATCCACGAATCTATCTAGCCTCCTTTTAAAACTTTCCAGCGTTCCAGCACTTACTACAAAGTTGCTAAGCTTGTTCAACTCGCCCCCCACCCTATTTGT